TACCAATTGCACATCTGATAGAAGGTTAATATCTATATAATGAACTTAAAAATATAAAGAACTCAAAAAAAAAACATGGGCATCTAGAAAACAACTTAGTTAGAAAATAGAATGAGAACTAAACAGAATTTTCGAAAGATGAAGCAAATGGCAGAGAAACACTTAAAGAAGTGATCGATATCCTTAGTTATCAGGGAAATGCAAAATTACTTTGAGAGTTCATCTTATACCTGTTAGAATGGCTAAGACCAATAAAACAATTGACAGCTCATGCTGGCATAGATATGGAGTAGGGGGAACACTCATTCATTGTTGTGAGAGTGCAAATTTGTACAGTCACTGTGGAAAGCAGTGTGGCGGTTCTTCAGGAAGCTGGGAATAAATCTGCCTCAGGATCCTGCTATCCCACTCTTGGGCATGTAACTCAAAAGGATGCTTCATCTTCCTTTAAAGACACTTGCTCATCCATGTTCATTACTGCTCTATTCACCATAGGCAAAACTTGGATGTCCATCGACAGATGAATGGATAAAGAAAATGGGGCATATTTACACAGTGGAATATTAATCAGCCTTTAAAAAATCATGAAATTCTCAGGTGGATGGAACTAGGGAAAAAAACCAATCCCGAGGGAGGTAACTAAAACCTCAAAAGACAAATATGGTATATATTCACTCACATGTGATGTCAGTGTTAAGTCTTCAATAAGCAGGCTACAGTCTGTATAACAGAGGTAAGGTATACAGTATGGGGAGAGGGAAGGATCTCCTGAGGAAAGGGACATAGAATATAGTTATGCAGGGGCAGACTGAAGTTTTGCAACTGTGAGGATCAGCCTCCAGCAGCACAGTACTTGAGGGGAGCCTGCGGAGTCAGCAGAGCTGAGCTTTTCTGTCTGAGGGAGTGAAACTTAACTCTCTGGGGCCAGCAAGAGAGGGAGAACACACACAGTCACACACACGCTATTAGGGTCTTTCTATCATCTTCTGTTCCATTTGTTTCTTTACTCTACTCTTGATGTTTTCCTTTTAACTTCTTTTTCTCCTTACAGCTTATATACTTCAGCAAAACCTTTCAAGCAATACAAAATTACATTCCATTTTTCAAGTGAATGATTACAATGAAAACAAGTAAACACAGCATGTTTTCCATATCCCTCACATGATTAAACATTTTACGTAATGCAGGTGAAAAACAAGTTGTCCCAAGAACCCACATACATTCATGTCCAAGCAACGTGTTATAGATTAACAGAGTGTGAGCAAGCAAGATATTTTTCTTATCCACTCTTTTGCTGCATTTTGTGGTTACAAAGAAAAAACCAATCATTTTATTATTTATCTCAAAACATAACCTTACAAGAAATCTTAGAAGAATCACAAATCTAAACTTTTATATATGAAAAATAATCAATCATCTCTACTTTAAATCTTTAGGTGAATATCCACTCAACGGTTTTTTATATGAGGAAGCAAAGAGCAGAAATGGGTATGAGGACTTCATCATCAGCTTTGATCACCAACCTATCCTACCAAGAAAGGCATATCCGTTAGTAATAATTGGGCTGCTTTGTTCTTGTTCCCTGTCCAAGTCGCTCACTCAACTCTGTGCCTTTTTAAAGCTTTAGATTGTTTTTCTTGTTTTTTTTTTTAACTTCAAAGTTATTCACAAAAACATCTCAATCTAACCTTAAGTTACTTTTTAAAGCTTTGTTTCAGCTGTGATGCACTCTGAAACCTCTGAACATATCTCTCAACTTTAAGATTAAAAGAATTTAAGCAAGCTGGGCTTCTAGGACTCACCCGCATTGTGTATGGCTCCTCAAAAGAAACTAGTTTTGTGACAGTTCCTTTTTTTTTTTTTATTTATCAGCGGCAGGGGCAACATTTTATCCTACCATTACCTATGTTAATTTTCCCACTAAACTAACCTCTATCATAATCCCATAATATGTTTATAAAACCCTCAACCATCAAAATTCTATTTAAACTGACACTACTATCATATAAAATCATTGCTTTAGTTAAACAGTACAGCTTAGGAGGTGATTATCTTCATAATAATCCACAGGTAAACATGTCCAGTAGAACTGGTTATTTCCAAGACTACATTAAGGGCCCATTCACATCATGCCAGATAACAAAGAAAAAATGGCAGCAGCAAACATACAAAGACATAGCTGTATTAAGAGACATTCTGGAGCTGAAGCCCTCTGGGCCTTGTCTATCTGATATTCTCCCAACAGAGGTTTGTTTCCTGGTGGGCTGATCCCCCGAAGTCAATTGTCCCCTGCTGGTCTTCTGACATGGTCACCAGCACTGGAGTAGGAGGACTAAATATGGAATGGGGAGTAAAAGGGGCAAGGAAGGGAATATGGGGAAGGATTACTGTCACTAAGGGCCATTTGAAGGGTCATATGGAAACCTACTTATAAAAATATAAGTAGGTTTCTTAAAATATATATACATATATGAAAGAAATCTAAATGGAGTCATCAAATAATGAGGGAGACCATGCCCCAACTAGACATCTTACGTCACCATGTGAAACCTCCAGTAATAGTAATGGGTTACATCTAGTTGAGTTGTTGGCCAAAGGGGCCCCATGGAAACCCCCAAACATCTCATGTGATTGCCAAGGCTACTGATTGCTCTCTGTGAACTGATGGTAAGGCCCTGTTGCTGAAGATAATACTTATCAAATGGAAATGGAGAACTTGAGCTGGTACCTGACTGAGCCATTGCCCACTACTGACTAAGTATTAATGGTACTGAAAGGTATTCTGCATCATGTCAGAGGAAAAAGGCACACACTATTGCAGCTACAAATCCTGTGATATATAACGTGACCTACCTGTATGATATGCTGGTGCCCTAGTGGCACAAATGTTGTGGGAGTAACCAACTAATCTCTGACTGTATTTAAGGCCACTTTATGAGATGGAACCTATCACTGAAGTTACTCAGCTGTCCAAGAACATAAGACTGGACAGGACTTGTGCCTAGGGAAAAACCAAGTACTATTGTTCTAAACAGTAATACAATGACTCCTAATGACATCTTGCTTTTCCCATAGATAATTGCCTTACTCAACCATCATCAGAGTAGTTTCTGTTTTCAGTAGATGGGAATTCACACAGAGATACATAAGGATACAAGAGAGAGATTTTGGAGCACTCAGTCCTTAGTGGAATGTCTTCATCACACCTCCACCCCTTAAGGCTCTGGGACTGTATGGAAGAGAAAGTGGAAAGATTTTTCAGAGCCATAGGTGGTACATGACTCCAAATAAACAGGTTTCTCCAGACACAATGGGACTAATGCACATATGAACTCATGGAGACTGTGGTAGCATGCACAGGGCTTGCATAGAATGAAGCCACACAAGATCCCAGTGATGAGACTGGGAAGTGGACACAGGTTCCCATCCCTAACCAAGAAGCTTTCTGCAATTGACATTCACTTACAAAGGAAAAATTAGTTTTCTCCAGTGGTATCTCACTGAGTATATTAATCACACTTCAGAGTAGATCAGGTGTCCTGTAATAAATGGCCAACACAAAATGAACTCAGTGCTATTTTTGTAGACTTACTGTCTCAAATTGCTTCGTTTGTGCATATTTTGCCTGGTTGGTTTTTGATTTTGTATTTTAGTTTTTGGTGTGTGTGCTTGTGTGTGTGTGTATGTGTGTGTTTGTGTTTTGTGTGAGTCTTTTTTAAAAAGAGAAAGAAAGGGTATGGAGCTGGGTGCATGGGGAGGTGAGAGGAAGCTGAGAGGAGGTTGAGAACGGTAAAGTATAATCAGAACATATTGAGTGAAAAACATTTTGAAAGGTATATCCTTAGTTTTTTATTCTTAGTTTTTTCAGGACTTTTATAATAATTGGATATTCGATTTTTGTCAAAATCTACATCTCATGATTTCTGTTCTTGGATCCATTTATGTGATTAATTACAGTTACTGATTTGTATATGTTGAACCACTGACCCATTCCTGTATCTCTGGATGAAGTCAACTTGATCATGATGAATGATATCTTTGATTTTTTTTTCCGGACAGAAAACTCACTGTGGTAGTGGATGTCTTGAAATTCAACTACATAAAGCAAGCTGGCTTTGAACTCACAGAGATCCACCTTCCTGTATCTTCCAGAAACCAAGATTAAAAGCTTGCACCACCACACCCCACTTATCTGTGTTTTGACTTTGGTTCATAAGCATTTTCTTAAGAATTTTTGTGTCTCTGTTCATCAGAGAACTTGGTTTGTGATTATTGTTCTGTCCTTATTTTTGATACTAGGACAAAACTGGCTTCATAAAAACAGCTTGAAATTGTGTTTTCTTATTTGAGGAGTATTGGCCTCCTCAACACTCTTTACAGATCTAGTAGGATCAGGAATGAATCTATTTGTATATCAGAGCATTTTCTCCATGAAATATATATATGATGTGTGTGTGTGTGTGTGTGTGTGTGTGTGTGTGTGTGTGTGTGTAGATCAGAGGAAAACTTGGAGTCAGTTTTCTCCTTCCACCATGTGAGTTAGGGAATCAAACTTAGGTCTTAAGACTTGGCAGCAAGCATCCTATCCGCTGAGCCATCTCACAGGCCCTACAGTAAGCATTTGAACTTAAAAAATTGAACTTAAAAAATTGATATTTTATTAAGCTTTTATCTTACCAATGTGAATTTATAAAACATTGATTTAGAGCTGAGTATACCACTGCCCTAAAGGGCCTCCTGCATTCCAGACATAACTTTTCTTATTTTCATTGTAGAAAAGCAATCCAATTTGCTCATGGCAATTTGGACCAATTACCCTTCCTAACACAGTTATTCCTTTCTTAGCTGCTTGTTTTAAGGCAGTGGCTCTCAACCTTCCTAAAGATGCAGCCCTTTAATATAGTTCCTCATGTTGTGATGACTCCCAACCATAAAATTATTTTCATTGTTACTTCAAAACTTTAATTTTGCTATTGTTAAGAATCATAATATAGGGCTGTCTGAGGGGCGCGAAGACCTGCGGGGGGAGACGGCCGCAGCATGGCGGCCGGCAGAGCGTCACCTTGCCCTCTGCCTTCCTGTTGCAGCCGCCTGGACACCGTGGTCCGCGAGTGCTCGCTGTGAGCCCGCCGCGCGTCTGCCCGCCGCCCGCCCTCCTTCCCGCGTCGCCTCCGCCAGCCCGGGGGACGGCCGGGCGCACCGCTGTCCCTCGCGCCGCGCCCACCCGCCGGGGCCCTGGGACCATGGAGGACGTGAAGCTGGAGTTCCCCTCGCTCCCACAGTGCAAAGACGACACCGAGGAGTGGACTTATCCTATGAGACGAGAGATGCAGGAAGTTTTGCCTGGATTGTTCTTAGGCCCATACTCTTCTGCTATGAAAAGCAAGCTTCCTATATTACAGAGACATGGGATAACTCATATAATTTGCATACGGCAAAATATTGAAGCAAACTTTATTAAACCAAACTTTCAACAATTATTTAGATATTTAGTTTTGGATATTGCAGATAATCCAGTTGAAAACATAATACGTTTTTTCCCTATGACTAAAGAATTTATTGACGGAACCTTACAAAATGGAGGAAAAGTTCTTGTCCATGGGAATGCAGGAATCTCCAGAAGTGCTGCCTTCGTTATTGCATACATCATGGAGACATTCGGGATGAAGTACAGAGATGCATTTGCTTATGTCCAAGAAAGGAGATTTTGTATTAATCCTAATGCTGGATTTGTCCACCAACTCCAGGAGTATGAAGCCATCTACCTAGCAAAATTAACAATACAGATGATGTCACCACTCCAGATAGAAAGATCCTTATCTGTTCATTCTGGTACCACAGGTAGTCTGAAGAGAACACATGAAGAGGAGGAGGATTTTGGAAACATGCAAGTGGCAGCTGCACAGAATGGCTGACTCTGAGCACTGTCACACAAATGTGAATGTGTCACACGGATGTGAATTTCTGTTTAGAAAGGAGGAGATCCTAGTGATGATAATGTAAAGTGGTAAAAACACAAGTAGTTTCTTTTCAATTATATGTTGCTTCCAGACATGTTTCTCTGCAACTTGTTGAGCAACACTTTAAGATGTTGAACTTCTACAGTAGATGGCGCTGGTGGGTGATGGGTTTGCTTTAAAATAACAAAACAAAACAAAAAACACTTTATGGTTTTATTGTAAACCAAGAATTTTGGACTTGCAAAAAGGTATTATTGCAATAATGCACTTTTCATACTTGAAGTTTATTTGTATGATATAAAGTTATTACTTTAAACAAAATGCAAGTTAGGGGATTTGTTTATAATTTTTGGATAATTTATAACAAACAAATTTCCTAATGTTTCCTAAAAGCTCATTTGTGTTATATATTACATTTAAAGTAATTTTACAGTTAAATTTTCTGATGGAGCCTCTTACAGAAACAGTAACAAAATGTAGAACTCTTTCACATTTTTTAATATAATTCAGCAACTGAATTACCATTTTTTTAAACTTCTTTGTCCCTTATTTTTAAATCATGATTTTAGCCAACTATCCTACTTTACTAATTTAATTAATACTTCCTTTCCAATTGCCTTCCTTATTGTAAACAAGAAAAAAAGTTGTAATGATGAAAGAGGTCTTATTTATTCAAAAATAAGGATAGTGTTATATTTCCACCTGCTGTTTTTCTTTTTGCTGTTTGTTTAAGCCAAATGTTGACTTGGTCTTTACAGAGTTGCCTAGCCCTTTTAACTTTTGTCCAAGATGGTTCAAAGTAGACTTTTAAGAAACCAAACCAATGTAGCACTGTTTCTTCAATATGAAACCCCCAAAAGAAAAGTGCCTTGCATCAACCAATTAAATCCTCATGACCTCTAAATTAGATAGCAGTATAAAGCTATTAACATTTTTGTAATTTTTTTTTGTTTTTAAACCATAAATTAAATCTGTGAAGCTTGAAGAAAGTAAATTATTTGGAATAATATGAGACATTTACTTCAAAAAAAAAGAATCATAATATAAATGTTTGTGTTTTATGATGGTCTTAGGCAATCCTTGTGAAAAGGCTATTTGGCCTCCAAAGAGGTCATGATCCAAAGGTTGAGAACTACTGGTTTAAGGGCATTAAAAGCCCAAAGTGGCCAGGGGAAAGTCTGAGCTTCTAGTTTAATGGAATGTTTGTTGTGGCTCCTGGCAAGAGCACTTCTACCTCTGGAACCAAAAACTTCTAGGCCAGCAGAACTTAAGGTTTCTGGACTAGGAAGCAAACATTTTCCTAGTGGGTCACTAGGAGTGATAGTGAAACCGGGCCATTTTCCAGCCCTTGATATCTGGACCCATGGATTCTGGCTATGGGAGAAACCATACCATATATTGGATGCTGATTCAAAGCGTATATTGACTTCTGGAAAACCCTGCACCAGCCCTATAGGGTGCTGCCCTGATAATTGTAATTGTGTCTTCAAGAGGCCATTCCATCTTTCTATCAGGTCAGATACTTCAGGATGATGGAAACAAGCTAAGACCAGTGGATTTCAAGATTGTGAGCCAACTGATGCACTTCTCTGGCTGTGACGTGAGTTCCATGGGCAGAAGCAACACTGTATAATACCCTGATGGTGGATAAGGCTCTCTGTGAGTGGTTTTAGTAAATTACATTCAGGAAGGCAAATCCATAACCAGAATAAATATCTACTCCAGTAAGGACAAAGTGTTGTCATTTTCACGGAGAAGTGGTCCAATGTTACTAGGTCGCTGGCTGGTCACCCTGAGGAATGGTGCCATAGGGCTCAGTGTTGGTCTCTGCTGTTGGCAGATCTGGCACTCAGAAGTGACTGGAACAAATACCATGTTTTACCCACTGTGAAGCTTTCCTTCTCAGGTATCTTTCAGGGTTGTCCCAGATAGGGGATATATAGCTGTAGCTGTGCACTTCTGGCTGATGCCTGCATAATGTGCAGAACCATCAGCAAACCTGGCCCTGGTCGTGTCTTCCTCATCAACTGATCATAGGGAGCTCTCTAAGAGGCTATAGCACATGCTTTGCAGTACATGGCATTGTAATGAGAGTAGAAATCATAGGCAACAATAGTCTGCTGCTGTGTATGCCCTGTTTTATGACGTGGTGTTCAGATCAGGTCACATGGTAGCTTGTTGGCCCATTGCCAAATATTCAGTTTCTACCTAGGCCTAATAGCAGGCCAAGAGCTGTCACTCAAAGGAAGAGTAGTTGTTGAAGATGATGGTAGAGCATGGCTCCCCAACCTCAAAGGTCTCCTTTGTGGTTCACCTACAGGGGCCTGCCAAAGATTCCAAACAGCGTCCCTATCGGCCACTGACACCTCAAGTACCATCAAGTCTGCTGGATCATGATTCAAGTAGTAGAACAGCCTGCACAGTAGCCTAGACCTGTCGAAGAACCGTCTCCTGTTCCAGGCGCCACACAAGCTATTAGCTTTCCGAGTCATTTGGTTTATGGGCTGGACTAACAAACATACCCAAGTAAAGAAATGCTGTCTCTAGAATCCAAATAGGGGTTCTATTGCTGCAGTGAAACACCATGACCAAAAACAAGTTGGGGAGGAAAGGGTTTATTTGACTTATATTTCCACATTGTAGTCCATCATTAAAGGGAGTTAGGAATTCAAACAGGGCAGAAACCTAGAGGCAGGAACTGATGTGGAGGCCAAGAAGGACCACTTCTAGTAAAATAAAACTAAACAACAACAACAACAAAAACCCTGTACTAGTCAGGGTTCTTTAGAGAAACAGAACTTAATAGAATGAATCTCTCTCTCTCTCTCTCTCTCTCTCTCTCTCTCTCTCTCTCTCTCTTTACACACACACACACACACACACACACACACACACACACACACTCCAAGAATCCAGAAGTTGCTCAGTCCAAGAGGTTGAATATCTCTGCTGGTCTTCAGTAGACACTGGAATCCCAAGGAAGTAGGCTCTAATGCCAGCAAAGGAATGAACTTGTTAGCAAGGTGAGAGAGCAAGCAGGCAAAGGGCAAACGCTTCCTTCTTCCATGCCCTTATATAGGCTTCCAGAAGAAAATATGCGCCAGATTAAAGGTGTGTCTTTCTGCATCAAGATCTGGATTCAAGGGGCAGACAATTCTCCCGCAGGTGTGTCTTTCTACTGTAAAGGTCTGGACTAGAGTGGATTCACCACTTCAAACAAAGGAAAGAACTCTCTCACAGGTGTGCCCTCCATTTCTGGACTACAGTTCATTCCAGATGCAGTCAAGTTGACAACCAAGAATAGCTATCATCATCTCTGGAGGTGTCTTCAGAGAAGTTAAACTGAGGAGGGGGTGCTATTCTCAAGGTGGGTAGCACCACCCGAAGGGTTGTACTGCACCCTTGAAGAAAAATGCCAGAACTGTGAAAGTGAGCTGTGCACCGGCGTGCATCCCTCTGTCTTCTAACTACAAATGCAAAGTAACCAGCTCCTTCGCGCGTTCTTGATAGCACGGTGGGCTGCAGCCTCCAACAACCAGCCAAAACAAACTCTGTCTGCTCTTGTCAGACAGTTCCCTTCAGAAACAAGAGAAATAATGCAGCGGCTGTCTTAGAGTTTCTACTGCTGTGATAAAACACCATGGCCCAATGCAGCTGAGGAAAGAAAAAGTTTTATCTTACACGTCCACATCCCAGCCGGTGTCAAGGCAGGAGCCTGGAGGCAGGGACTGAAGTGGAAGCCATGGAAGAACATTGCCTGCTGGCTTGCTCAGCCTGCTTACTTATATACCAGGACGTCTTTCCAGCAGTGGCACGGTCCATAATCGGCTGGGCCTCCCACACCAGTCACGAATTAAGAAAATACCCCACACGCTTGCCTATGGCAAATCTTATGGAGGCATTTTCTAATCATGGTTTTCTCTTCTTAGATAACTCCAGCTTGTTTCAAGTTGATAAAAATACCAACCGGGGCAATTGACCCTTTGTCAACTTGACGTACAAGCACAGTTGTTGCTAAACCTTCACCGTCTCCCTTTTCTTTTTATCCTCGAGATCTCATATTAATATTATCGTTACAGCATAGAATATTTCAGCTCTTAAAATCCCACAGTGCTTTAAAAATTCAGCCTCTTGCTTGGGTGGTGATGGGAGCCCATGCTTTTAACCCCAGCACTCTTGAGGCAGAGGCAGGAGAATCTCTGTGAGTTTGGGGCCAGTCTGGTTTACAGTTCTGGGACACTCAAGACTACACAGGGAAACCCTGTCTCGAAAAACAAAACAAATAACAACAACAACAAAAATCCAACCTCTTTTTTTTTTCTTTTTTTTTCCCGAGACAGGAAAAGCTGTCTCCAGAGCCTGCTGTCACCCCAGCCGGGAAAGCACCTTTCCCTGGTTTCCCTACAGTTTTTCTCTGTAGCTTTGGAGCCTGTCCTGGAACTAGCTCTTGTCTAAAAATCCAGCCTCTTTAAGGCATCCAAAATCTCTTTAAAATTGTAAAATTTGTCTAAAATATCCAAGGACTCTAAAATTGCAGTTTCTCTAAGGTATTCAAGGTTTCATAACTTTGATATAAAAAGGCTAAATTCTTTCTAACTCCAAAAAGAAGCAACAGGCAGCAAGGTAGGAGATGCACAGACCATCGGGCAAGTGCGGAGAGAGGGAGCGGTTCCTGGCCAGGGAGGGCCTTGTCCCAGGGACAGGCACTCTATTGTGTCCTGAGGACACTGAGGGAACCTTGGCAGCCATGAGGAGGCCAGAGGCAGCAGAGCAAACACAGTGCTTTCCACGATGTCGGGCGCCACCCAGAGGACGGAGGGAGAATTTTCTTCAGCGATGCTGAAAAACTCCCTTAGGTTTCAAGACGCTAGGGGGAGGCTGAACCTTTACCAGGGAAAGGAGCTTTCCTGGCTGGGGTGACAGCAGGCTCTGGAGGCAGACAGCTTTCCTGAGCTGAGAGGTGCTATGTAGGGCTCCTTTTCCTTCCCCTGGCCTGCAGTGCCAGGAGGGACCAAGGCTTAAGGTAATGGACACAGACCACCTAGATGACACTAGTGTGCCTCTTGAGAACATGACACGTGTTTGGGAGGTGGAGGAAGACACGACGACAGGCAGAAGGTCCAGCCAAGGCAAGGTGAGAAGGTGGGAAGTGTGGTCTGGGTTTCTGCCTGTGGCTGGGAAAACCTTGAGGATGACTTTGTGTAGCCTGCGGGGAAACCCAGAGGGCTGGTCACTCCCTGACTCCTGACTAGGCCACAGAGGTTTCTTTTGAGAGCAGAGGATGTGCCGAGCTCCAGAAACATCAGATGAAGCCTTTGTGGCATTTTAGCCCCCCTAGTCTGTGAGTGTCGGTTATTGTGGCTACAAGAAACCTGGAGGAAGTGCTCTAAACAATGAAATCATAAGACTTTACCCAAGGGCATTTGGGGGGTTGTGAATAAATAATTGTTCATTAATGAATGAACAGAGAGAAACAGAGACATGTGGAGATGGGAGAGAGAGAGAGAGAGAGAGAGAGAGAGAGAGACCCACAGAGAGACTATGAGAGTATAAATGAACATGAATGTACTCAGTGGGTGTAGAGTACCACCCCCCCTCCCCCCAAAATTTAAGCTTATTCATCAAGGCGATTCAAGTCTTTAATCCCAGCACTGAGGAGGCAGAAGCAGGTAGATCTCTGTGAGTTCAAGCGTAGCCTGATCTACATATCAAGTTCAAGGTCACAAACAAACAAAAAAAATTGCTTCACAACTCAAAAGTGTTGTAGACACAAATATTCTAGCTAATATCAAATATTTCAAAGCATCATTAATAAAGACAATGTCCAGAGCAGCATCCATGGAATGGAACACATCAGACCATATATGAATTTAATTATTTGTTCATTCTTTTATTCTTGTGCTGGGGATGGAACTCTAGAGAGACCCACTTGTGCTGGGCAAGCTGTGTGTCATTGAGCAACACCCAGACCCAGTCACTCAGTGACTACCGAGGGGTTCATGGGCTGGGAAG